TTGAGTGATTCAAATATATTATTTGAATCAGGGCAGCTGGGAACGAAAGAGCAGTCTCTGTCTACACTATAGAGTATTTGATTCTGCTAACTTTTAACAGAAGGAAGTTGACTAGATTTTACTAAGTAGCAGTGAGTAGAGCATTCAGTTATGTGCTAGAGGATGTAAAGGTAACCCTAGATACAGAGAAAGTATTGGTGGTGGTAAATCAGGGACAACAATGACCAGAAAACATTCATTACATCCATTTAGGGTGTGAAGAGAAATGAAATCACCAGAGCCCAGCCTGAAATAGAAGCTGGGTGCATATCTGACGTATGTCTATGTTTCAAAAACGGAAGTTTAATCTTGGGTAACGGTTTAGAGGGGGTTGGCAACGTTCTCTACAGTCATTCTATTTATTACAGGATACATTTAGGGAAATCAGCGTGGGACCAGTTGTTTCCATCAATGTCTCCAAGCTCTCCAACAACAGCAACTATGAAATCAACTTTCAAAACCAGAAGAGCATAATCTTAATGGAAAGCTGGCATTATCCTTCCGTGTGCTGAGAAGACTGAAGAGATATGCTTTTGAATCAACTGCAATCCATTTACTACCTTTGGATGTTTACACAGTGATCAGCTTCTTGAATTCTTATTTCCTATTTCTTTTTTTTTGTTTTTTTTTTATATACATCTTTTTGTATACAACGGAAAATATTTTTGACATACCTGTAAAGCCCTTGTAAGATGATTATGAATTCAGACACCCTGAGGTAACAGAAGAAGAGGAAGAGGAAGAGGAAGCGGAAGCGGAAGCGGAAGCGGAAGCAGAAGCAGAAGCAGAAGCAGAAGCAGAAGCAGAAGCAGAAGCAGAAGCAGAAGCAGAAGAAGAAGAAGAAGAAGAAGAAGAAGAAGAAGAAGAAGAAGAAGAAGAAGAAGAAGAAGAAGAAGAAGAAGAAGCATCCTCTCCCTTTACCATTCCATTTTTAGCATGGCCGTGTTGTAATCTTAGAGCACTCATCCAGCTGGAATTTCGACCACTTCATTTACTTTGATTTTGACAGTGTGCTGTCACAAACCAACCCCTTTATAGAAGAGCAAAAGGCGCCTCCAGTATTTAAAGATGGGTGGCTAACATACAGAAGCTTCTTAGACTATGGGGATTTGTCTTTAAAAGAACTACGCTACTAGAAATAAACAGTGTGAGAAATGCTTTTTTTTCCTGTTAACCTTTAATGTCAGAATTTCTCTCTATCAAGTTACTTTGAAATCAAAGGCTAAATTTCATAAAGCAGCATTTATTTCCTATAGCAGTTACAGAACAAGGAAAAAAAAAGAAACTTAGATCTAGTAGTCTCAAGGAAGTAGATTTTTCTAAAAGCAAGCAAATCTTGTTACATCTGCCCATGTGGGATAAAGGAATTTGCAAGGAATGTAGTTTGGTATCTTCAAGCTAGGTGAATAAAAGGCTCTTATTGCTCCAGCCTCTTTTAAATCAACACATGCATGAAACACATAATATGACTTTCAACATGAGTGTTAAAATCGGTGTCAGTAGGCGATTATCCACATGTTAGCACTTTTCTCCCAACAAGATTTTTAGGTGAAGTGCTTAATTTTGTGGAGTGCTTAACTATGACTTAATCCAGAGAAGGCAGTGACTACATGTTGGCAAGAAAATATTTTGACAAGGGAGAAATCAAGGCATGCGGCCACTGGTGATGCTTGGATCCAGCCAACAAAACGTTTCATCAAAATATGTCTTTTGAACTAATATGTCTGTCATAATTCCTAGGCAGAGTGTTTAATGAACAGCTTGTCTAAACACGACAGTCAAGAAAAAAAATGATTTTGGCTGTCAGTTTCTCAGATGTAAATGACTAATAAAGTCGCATATTGAAGATCAAAGCTTCTGAGTTCTAGAGGCAGAATCACCAGTGGGTGAGGTAGGGGTCTTCAAATGGAGACCGGGTCTTTAGATCTGACCAGGTGAATATAGGATCCCACACTCAGCCTGCCCAGACTGCCGACTGACCAAATCACATCTGAGATATCCATGGAAATTAGAAAATGGCATTTTACCATACTTCTTGTATTAAAACATAGAATTATCTAAAAGTCTGTTCAGCAGGAGTCAGAACCTGCTTATTGATTCTGAGCCAAATGTTATGATAATGAATTTGTCCAGCTTTGTCCATAAACTGTCCTGATAACAGTCCATGGTAGTTTCGATGCATTTTGAACAATTCTAAGCAAGGGGAAAGCATTTACTCCGGAATATATAAAATTCCATGCAAAGTAGAATCTCAGATTATCAGGGAGATGTTAGTGCCTCCTTGATAATAGTGGATAATATTGTTCATATGGTCAAGTAAACAAGTCTGGATATTATTTAATTTTATTACAAAGTCAACAATTTTTAACAATTTAAAATTGTATTTTCTAAATTTCGAGTAACTTTATGTGTTCCAGAGTTGTTTTGCACATAACAACATTATTAGTACTTATAGGTTAATATAAACATACTTAGAGAATAAACGTGTAGTAATTTCACCATTAGTACTTTCTCAGTATATGTATATAGCATGTTACTAGTAGAAACTCCTTGCTGTCTTTCATATTTTTAAAGAACCAATATTTTGTGTTTAAATCTGATAAACTAAACATAAATTAATATAAAAATTTACAAAGATTTTTTTCTCATATTAAATGAAAATGTATTTCTTGCTGTATGTTATGTGAAAAAAAGTTTGTGTATAAAATACTATTGTTTATATATACATACATACATAATTATTTTGTAATGACTTGAATCTATAATCTACTTTTCATTTGAGTAAATTAAGGACATTAGACTATAGTCTCCCTTGTAATTACAAGAGAGACATTGTAACAAAGATCACTGCTTTCCTAATATATAATAAATAAACATAATAGAAAATAAAATATTTAATTAACCTAATAGCATCATTCAATTTATTTTTTGTTCCAATTCAAATGAATTCAAATTAATGACATCTGTTTTTATTCATTCACGTCGCTGCAAGGGTGTTTGGTGTAATAGGACTGATTTGCAAAGGTAGTCCTCCCACAGCTTCTCACAACAAAGAACTAATGGATTCAAATAGATGGGGGTGGCTGGGGAAGCTCGGTTCTACAAATGCTTTCACTGGGAACGTCTTTTCTCCTGCTTCTCTCATCAAGCCTAAGGAACGTATTAGCACTGCTAATCATGTACTTAGGGAAGACGTGAACAACCAATGTCAATAAGTATGGCTGCATGTGCCGGGCTCCAAAGGAGATCAGGCATCTGGCCTAAAAGGAATCAGGTAATGTTCCTACTCAAGGCAAAGGCAGCAGTCCTAATGAAGCCTAGGAAGTGAAACTCATGACAGCCAGGCAGCTGGCCTAATGAGATGGAGGCAGCAGGCCTAATGGGAAGCAGGCAACAGTCCTAAAGAGAGCGATAGACTCCATTCGACTTGGTCTTTTTGCTGAAGTTTGACCTTTCTGAGTGAACCCTCTCACAATCACGCTTAAGATGTAATTGTCTGACTAGTGCAGAAAAAGGACGTGCTATTAGTACATAACAAAGAGTCCGTACACAGTCCATCTGCTTTGTTGAATTGTATCCATACAAGGAACGGAACAACCAGCAAGTCCTGCACAACCCTCCGCAACCATAGCTACCAACTGTCACACATCAAATAAATTTGAAATTTTTTCTTGAGTTTCTAAGCTCATGTTGTTTTTTTCAAACCTTACTCATATCCTTTGTCTCCAGTTATTTATCAATTCATCTATGATAAAATATTAAATCTTTCACTAAGTACTTATGAAGATTTACTTGATAGGCATGAATATTGCCTTTAGATTAAAACAAGAAAAATATAGGCAATAGTCTTTTTAATCTTTGATATTTAAAAACAAATATTTATGGAAATTCCATGAATTTTAGGTCTAAAATATTTGAAACATAGCAGAAATATGAGTTTTTTCCAGTTCTTTTTAAAAAACAATTTGAAGAGCCAGGTGATCTTCCCTTCACTGTTTATATGGTGACAGCTCTTCCTTTGTGGAATTCTCAGTGTAGTGGAGAGACAATGGACACTGAAGAGTGGGAAGTGCTCTCAACCAAACAGACATTGTGGTAGAGAGCTCTGAGCCTGTAAAATAGCAACCCCTTTTCATGGTTGGGAAAGGGACATTAGTGTGAACTATACCAAAAGGCCAAGAAAGCAGGGCAGTAACCCACAGCCTTGACTGTCAGACTGGTGTCTGACACATAAAGGCGATGTCTTCACAAATGAGGAATTTAGGATCATTACAGGCTGTTTTCTGTCCATGTGTTATCTGTTTCAAGGTTTTTCTTTTTTTTTTAATTTTCTACACAAAACGCATTTTTATTAAAAAAAAAACAGTGAAAGATCTAGGGAGCTCTACATAGAAAGCAACAGTGAAAAGGGGAGTGTGGCAGGGGTGGAGAGGAGAGCCCACCCCTCACTCTACCCTCCCAGCCCTGGAGCCCCTGATGCTCTGTCATGGCAGGAGGCAGCAGTCAGCTCTGAACTCTTCCAAGCTAGGAAGGCCCCCTTTGGGGGGGGAGGGCAGCCAGGAAGAATTTCCATGGGCTCAGTGGGGGCTCAGTGGAGGCTCCCAAGCCCTAGTAGGTTAGCAGAGGGAGCGTGGATTCCCCTGAGCAAGCACCGTGGCATGACGTGGTTGTTTGACTTGGGAACTGTGGGGGCTAGGCCAGATCCCAGGTCTCACGAGGAGCGCGTGTGTTATGTTTGCCCGTGCATGAGTGAGAATAGATATTCATGGAGGCAAAAGGGAACAGGGGTGTTTGGGGTCTTTGCAAATGGCCACGGATGGCAGCCATAGCCCTGCCTGGTTGCTAGACACAGGGAAGTGCTGTTCTCCCCTGTAACCAGATTGGCCACCACCAAAGGCCTGGCTACTGCCCCTGCTGGACCAACCCAGGTAGGCTCAAAGAGGGTACCCTTGTGGCCCCAGAGTCCTCAGGCTGGGGGAAGGTGGCTAGCTGGCTCCCGGCGCCCAGGACGTAGTGTGCCCGGCCCCCAAAGGGCGCCGGTTTGAGGTTTTGGCTTGCTCCTTTGGAAACAGAAAAGAAAGAGGGAAATGGGAAAGGACACAGAGGAGAAACAGGAGGTGACAGGTGGCACAAGAGGGGATCTGGAATGCATGTTATGTTAGGGCGCCTCTACAGCTGCTGTCTGTGCTGTGGGGCCTGGGGCTCCTCAGGCAAAGGGTCTGCTTTGGAGACGTTCATCTCCAGGATGTGCCGCTGTAAATGCCGCACCCACTCTTCCTGGATGGAGAGTGGGCCCTGGAATTCCACTTCACAGAACCTGCACTTGAGGGTATAGATGTTGCCCACAAACTTGACCAGTGATGTCTGGGGGGGGCGAGGCACCAGGGAGGGTACTGGCCGGACCCGGAGTGGGGGTTGCCGCACCTCTTCCAGCTTCTGTTGCAGGTCATTGGCATCCTCACCACCCCGAGCTGCAGAGGCATCTGGTGGGCCGTCTTGTCTGCGTTCAAATTTGTTGATATTTTGCCGTTGGTGCTCCTCTGACTTCACGGTCCCGGGTGGTCTGGTTGCCAGAGGCCGTTCACCACTGTCAGCTGCCCTGCCAGCCTCAGGTTCCGCCCCAGCACTTCGCCCAACCTGGGACAGGCCCCTAGATGTCAGCCCCAGGGGTGGCCGTTTGTCACCGTCATGGCCAGCACTGCGGAACTTCTTGGTAAAGGGGCGGCCACTCTGGATGCAGCTTTGGTAGGCACCCACTTTCTGGGGCCGGTGTTTGATCCACTCACTCAGCGTCTCAATGGGAGAGCCATTGACACACCACTTTGTCACACCGGACTGCTGAAGGTGTGCCCTCTCATGGCTGGCTAGGGCTTTTCGGTTTTCAAAGTAAAGGCCACAGAGCTCACAGCAGGCCTCGGTGGAGGAGTGGGAGGTCTTCTCATGGAGAGTCTTTGCCTTGAAGGGCAGTTCAGTCTGGATGTAGGTCTTGGCCTTGACCTCTGCTGGGAGGACGCGATCCTCCTGTAGGGGCCGTTTGGTAGCCACTGGGCCCAGGTAGCTGGTGGTAGAAGGCTTAGCCCCGGTGATGGGCGACAGGCTGAGCTCCCGGGGAACCTGGGCCGGCCCAGCTCCTGGTTTTCCAGGCCGGCTAGCCAGGTGTGACAGAGGCAGTGGGGAATGCATAGCCCCTGGAGCTGCTGTCGGGGAACCATCCTCAGCCAGAGCAGGAGCCAGGTCTCCAGCTGGAGGCTCTTTCATGATGAGGCGCAGCTTGGACTTCTTCTTCAGGATCTTTTGAAGTGTGTCAATAGGTGAGCCATTGACAGACCACTTAGTCACACCCATCTGGCGCAGGTGGGAGCGAGCGTGGCTGGAAAGGCCCTTGCGGTTCTTGAAGAACTCACCACAGAACTCGCAACGGATGTCACGTACTGGCTCTGCCCTGGATGATAGGTTCAAAGGTGCCATATCTTCTCGAGGCGTGCCCCAGGGACCCTCAGAAGGGTGTGGCTCCCCATGCAGGGCCCGGGGCAACATCTCCCGCTTGATCTCTACTCTCATTTGTTCAGGTTTCAGTTTCTTGGGCAAGGAAGGAGTAGCAAGGCCTGAGAACATCTTCCGGGCCGTGGGAGGAGGAGAAGCAGTTGGTGAGTGGCCCAGGGGACTGCCCGGTGGCGGTGGCGACTTCTTGGCCAGGGGTGAAATGTGACGATCCGAGGGACTGCGGGCTTCTAGTGAGCTGCCAGGACCTCCGCTACCCACCACCTTGGCTAGGGCTTTGAGGCTAGGCCCTGGTGGGTGGAGGTGTCCACCTGGCCTGGATTGGGTCCGTCTCTTCAGGATCTCCCGCAGTGTGTCAATGGGTGACCCGTTCACAGACCACTCAGTCACACCCATCTGGCGGAGGTGGGAGCGCGCGTGGTTGGACAGGCCCCTTGGTGTCTCAAAGCAGGCACTGCAGACCTCACAGGTGGTCAGGCTCTGGGCCTTGAGGTCTGGCAGCTCCTGTTTGCTGCCATGAGGAACCTCTGCAGCCACTTTGCTGCTCAGCCGACTGGCCATCGGCTCCAGGGTCCCAGAGACAGGCAAGCTCTTCTTTGAGAGTAAGGGAGACCCCAATCCATGGCCACCATTGTGTTTTTCCTCAGAACAAAGGCCCGGCGCGGACACGGGCCCGGGACCCTGCTCTGGCTCGGCCTTGGGCCCGTCCTGCGAAGGCGGCGGCGCCGGGAGAACCACCGGGCCTGGACTCGGGGGACTTGGCGAGGGCACCCCCGTGGTCTCGCGCTCCCGGGCACCCCCCGCCGCCGCCTTGCTCTCCGCTTTTGCCACTCGGCACTGGGCGGTGGAGGCGGCCATCTTGGCTCCCAGAAACCCTGTGGAATGAGTCTCTCTGTGTGCTGGAATGACTCCCAGGCTATGGTCCAGGTAACTCCACAATGGCAGGCTGTGAACACAAAGTCTGAGAATGCAGTAGTTGCTCAGTCCACAAGGCTGGATGTCTCTGCTGGTCTTCAGTATGTGCTGGATTCTGGAAGAATGGGGCTCTCACGCAGTGAAGGAACAGATGTGTGGACGAGGCAAGGGCAAACAGGCAAAGAGCTTTCAAGGTTTTTCATGTGTTCTTGTCTACCTGCAAGGAAGGATACAGTCTAGAAAACAGTTTAGTAAAGTAAGCATACCAAATAGAATTTGGAACCAACTGTCAAGAAAGGCAATTCAGCAGTATGGCAAATCTGTCTTTCTGTGATTATTTATGAAGTGGATAACATGTCTGCAAGTCACAGGCGACACCTTGCCCTCCCAAGTCATGGTAAACTAAATCTCCTATTTAGGCTGTCCTCACGACCCTCTGGAAAATCTTGTGGCAAAAGTCTTTTAAAAATGAAGACCCTTTACTTATGTGCGTTTGTTGCAATTGAGATGATGTCCTGGTACACTGGTTTCAGACAGATCAGAAATAATCCATCTCTTGTTTCTACAGTATTTAACTAGGAAAGGTTTCACTGACAGTAGACACCACGACTGAGACACAGTGACAGTGTCCTTTGTTCCCTTGCCCAACTAGAGAACATATCTTCCAAGACATAGCTGCAGTTTCCTCTGTTTCCCTCACATCTAACTTGCTCATATAGTAGCACACAATATTCATGAAGGATGACATGACAGAAGGAATACAGTCACCGACATGCCCACTGCACTTCCAGATCTGGCTCTTAGCAATTCTTAGCCAAAGGGATCACTTCTTTATGATTTCACATTCTTCTTGTTTACAACGTGATGTGAAATGTGTTGACCTGTGAGAGTTCTATGAAATGAGTACTAGCTAAATATACTTTTTGGACATTCAATGTAACCATGTTATCATAATTATATACATATATATTATATATATGTATTTACTTTAGGAAAACAAAGTACAGGAAGCCCCCTTTGTATATAAACAATTGAAGTGCTGTCTATAGTGTTGTCAACACAAACATATCATTATCAAAACAGTGTAAAGATAAACATGAATCATGAAAATAGGATCTATGTCTACATTGTAGCAATATGAAATCTAATCCTTTAATTCTATGATACCCTTAGCTGTGTCATTTTTCTATCAGCATCTCCAGAGATTATTTCCGTAAGCAAACATAATACAGACAATACAGTCATATATACCATAAATGAAATGTAAATATTGTGTCTTCAAATTTTTGTGGTATTTTAATCATGCTAGTCATCTTAATGTTTCTTTCCTTGTTTCTAGAATTATCAGAGAAAAGCAATCTCAACTATGTGGGATATGATTCTTTTTTAATTCAAATTAAACTAGAAGGAAAAAAAACCTCTATAACATAGAATAATATGTCTGACATGTGGTTTTCCTTCAGGAGATATTGAGGTTTTAGATTTTACTAAGTCCCTTGGAAGCTTTAGGGTTCTTACGATGCCTAGAGTCGATTTTGAGCAACTTTCCAATTTCCTTTAGAGAATCTTAATTCAAATTCATCAAAACACTGAACACAGGAATGCTTTGGTGGCAATTATACTTCTCCAAGGGCACTGAGATGAGAGTCCCCAATGAGGAGATGGAAGATGTAAATAAAGTATCTCTCTAATAGTGTAATATGTTAAATGGCAATGATGTTATTACGACAAGGTGTGTAAGCCATCATCAGTTACAAAAATTCCATTTAGGGCTTCAAATTTTATAATATTTTTAATGCATTTAGCATTAACACTTCTGACAAGATTAAGTTGTGAGTGACAAGTGCAAGGCCATGTATTACAGTCCCAACAATGCTCACTCTCTCCATTCAACCAGAAATCCATTCCTTATCAATTGCATTAGATATTGTTCCAGGTATGAGTAATACAGTGGTGAGAAGCATCAAAAGTGTGTGTTCACCCTCTTCTGTCCCAACTGAAATCATGAAGCTATTCTATCCCTTTGATTACTAGGCTTGAAAACTATAACAGCTTTTCAAATATTTTCCACTCATGATCACACTGGGAGTCATTCATGAGGGCATAGAATCCATCCTTTTCTATCATGTCTTCCTTCCATACAGGACTTGATGCTAAAGAACAGCTTTCCTTACCAGCTTATTTATATTAAAGTTTTAAAATACAACAGTAACAGTTACGATGCTTGATTTCAATCTAATGTCAAGGTTGTAGGATGATTTGATTCTTGAAAACAGAAAGAGATGTAGAAAATGGAATATATTCCCCCTATTTTAATAAACAGGAATATTATCCTACTTGGTGAATTTAAATCTGTTGCAATCCTTGCTACCTTTGACAGTCATCTATCTTGATAGTCAAACATTTTGAAATTTGGTTTTAAGGCATTTGAAAAACTCTGTAGATGTTATGGGCAATTCTCTTGTATCCTAATAGACTAGGACTCTAGACTCATCTTGTGAGATTGTTTTCCTATTCTGGGATAGCTTGATCTTCAGCAGACTCTGTTGTTGAAGGTATTGTTCAAAGACTAAACTTCACTTGGTGAGTTCATTCTCCTCAGTGGACAGAGGCAGAGTCTATATGATTGCTGTTGTTTTTCTAACCAATGACCCATAGTCTTATATTTTAATTTTATTTAAGACTAAAGTGTTCTTCCGTACAAAACCATGTTTTCTCCCTAGTTCTTATAATCTTATAAATGGAGACAAGAGTTTAAAAGAAAATTATGGAATTGTACTTAATGAGTACTTCATATCAGAAGTAGAAATAGAATCTAATTGTCGAATCTATGGGTATCTCCTGATACATCATACATCATTCTTCTCATCTCTTATACACAGTTTTATTTAAGAAATAATACCATCATTCACTCAATATTTTGTGACAAGAGCCAGTAAATTATACTCGGTATCATAACCTTTAATCTTTCATATCGTACAACAGTAAGTATTTCATTTGGGTATCATTGTCATCTTGAATTCACTATAGCCAACTAAGCATCTCACAAAGATGGCAACATTTCTGCTAACTTTCTTTGTTAAAATAGATTTAATGAATAGCCCTATGATTTATCAATTCCATTTGAATAATCACTATTGTGATTCACGAAGATGAAAGAGACTGCATCTTCTATCATATTTCCTTGTCCTTCTTGGGATAGTTAGGCATGATATAAATTATTATAATATAGATATTTAATTTAATGAAATGAAATTTGTAGTGATGACAAATGCATAAATTCTTAACTGCAAGTAATAAAATTCAACACGAAACTTTAATAAAATTCAGCAATAAGCCATCTTGAATGATAAGCCTATAGAAATTGTAACAATAGATTATAAAATCTCAACCTACATATCATCTATAATTTGATTGTGTGTTATTAAATAAGATAATATCAACTATTATGGTACAGAAAACATTCCAATCACATCATTTCCTCTAAATGTTTACTATATCGTCATATTTTGCCAGCCTTTATTATAAATCACAGAAAAAGCATTTAAAATATATAGGCTGTTGCATAAGAAATAATAATTTTAAGCAAATATATTTATCTACTTGCTAAGTATTTTGAAACCATAATTTTATACCTATTTATTTCTGTGTCCTAAAGATGATACTGTGCTTGAAAGATGCTACTGTGCTCAAAATCTGAAAGAATTTGCTAATCAACATGGTGATGAGTCATATTCAATAGTTTTCACTTTAGAAACTCATCAAGCTACACATAAGAACAACAGTAAGTTTAGAAGGTTGTTTGGGAATCCAACAAACAAAAGCCACCCAAAGCACTTGATTCTCTAGAACTAGAAGATTAATGCTAGGTCTGGAGAAATGACCTCAGTTAGGAGTGCCTATTGCTCTTTCAGACCTGAGTTAAGCACTGAGATGTTCCAATGTCAATGAAAGAGCAGGAAGAACAGAAGGAATTAGACGGCGAAAATGAAGAATAAAGGCGTAAAAGGAAGTTCAAGAGAGCAGGGAGTCCTGAAGCCATGAGCTTTGTCAAAAGTTTCTGTGAACCTTGAGGTTGTTCACTGTAATCTGACGTGGATTCTACTGGGGACTTGTAGGTTCTACTGGTGGATCTTTACATACGAGAAGACTCTTTCTTAAAGAATACCAAGTAGGTGTTAATGAGGAGGAAATGTGAAAAATAAAGTACATTTTAAAATCACAGAAAAAATGAAAAAAAAAATTGTCTGGTAATTGTACTGGCAGAGTTAAAATAGGGGTAAAACCTGATGATTTATTTCATAGTGCTTGTAGAATTGTAATTAACAGAATCATTTTCAGTGGAAGAACTCAAGAAGAAAATATCTATAAGATATGTCCACTGTGTGACCTATGCACTTTCATACATTCAATAATTTCTTGTATTTCTTCTAGCTCATTTTGCAGTACTTGCTCACTTCTGGTTGCTTTGCAGTCTGTCATATTCTTCTTGTGAGGTTTCCTGAGCAGAAGTAATGCTTTGTTCCTCTAAAGACTGATTTTTCATTTGAAACTTAACTGTTGTTAAGTGTGTTTTACACACAAATACCTTCCCTTTTCTTCTCCTACTTTCTATGTTTAAACAGGAGGTTTTAATTGTTTTATTTAAAATAGATTCTTCTCTCATATAATGCATCCCAGCCAAAGGCTCCCCTCTCTCCGCACCTTTCAGCTCCTCCCACCTCCTCTCACCATCAGACTCTCTTCCCCACAGCTGTTTCCTCTTTAGAACGAGACAGCAGCCAAATAGGATGAAACAAGACACAATAAGACAAGGCAAAACCCTCATTATGGCTGGACAAGGCAACATAATGGGAGGAAAAGCATTCTAAGATCAGGCAGAGGAGTAAAAGATAAATCTGCTCCTACTGTTAGGTGTCCCACAAAAAATCCAAGTTAATAGC